AAACTCGTCCGAAAGGCGGACAACTCGTCCACTGCCGGTTTTTTCGCGAAAACGCGTCGTTAGGTGCGGGGAATCTCAGCCGCATAGCCGGACAACTCGTCCACTGCCCCGAAGAGCGGAAAACTCGTCCAAAGTGTGTCTTTAGGTCCGAGTGGGGCACTACGTGGCAAGTGGCTCCCAAGGTCCGTTGAAGACAGAATAGCCCCAATACAGGCCCCGCCCCCTAGGAGAGGCTCCGCCCACTCCAAAAATCTGGATTTTTTGAAAATTGTTCATATGCGGGATCTAACCCTACCCTATCAACCCTACTCAATCGTCTGGTTGGAAAGCTCAGAAAGATACAAAATACAAACCATTTTCCGTAACATTATGCGTCATATGCACTGCTTTGCCCTCTCCATGCATCCATTCGGAAAAGTCGCCAGAGGGAGACGTCAGCCGAGTCGACACTTGAATGGAAACTGAAGGCTGAAAGTTGTCATTCTCTTCAGCAATACATTTTCTCCATATCTCGACTAAGGGGATTGTCCTCGGACTTGCTGTGAAAACTACAGCGATTTCTATTCGCCGATTCAAGCAGAGACAGAGGACGGATGCACGATGGAATGCGAAGGCATAAAGAGTATGTTCATGCACCTTTCCCAACCAAGTCCGAGGAAACTCCCCTTCAACGTCGAGATTCAAATTGTAACCAGTCTGCTAACACATTGGTTGCGAGGAGAATTCTATTACACATTGTCATATTTGCCATCTAAGATTTAGAAAGGTCATCATTCGCGGGTGCGACATCGCACGCAACGCTGCCAACGCTGCTAATTACGATCGTCTATCCGGTTGCGAGGAAGGGTCACTCGTGGTCAACCCCACGCGTAGGCCGTAATTATGTCTGAGAACTTTTCGACCATTTTTGCCAAGCAGATCTCATAGTAAACACAATGGTTGAATTGCCAGCCATCAGATATAGTGGTATGCATATCAAAGGAAAAATGATGAGCGGCGCTTAAGTATTCGGAGGGGAGAGGGGAAGTGGGAAAAGAGGAGACAGAACAGCTACTGAACCACAGTCTGCTCTTCTGCTCCCACCGGCCTAAATAGGCTGCGTTCATACTTTGCGTACGTTCAGCTCAAGCGAACAGCCAGCGTCTCTAAGCAACGCATGCAGTTTTTTGAGCGTCCGTCAGCGTCCGTTAGCGACCAAGAGTAGAGAATATGGGGAAGTAAGAGGGTAGCAGACTGCTGGTGGAGTATGGGGAAGTAGGAGGGAGGAGACAGCTGGATTAGGAGTCGTGAAATTGTGACGTGTGCAACTGCACCGTACCACCACATCATACCTACCTGAACGCTGGTGGAAGGTGCTGGTCGACTGGTCGCTGGTGGACGCTGATAGACGCTTCCACTCGCTAGATCGACGTCTACACTTGCCTAGTCACTGGCGCTGACGGACGCTCGAAACGGTGGTGTCGCTCGTGGGCCAGCCTTACCCTTCCACTACCACACTCACCTTCAGGCGGAGCGCAGACGAATAGCGTTGTCGCACCCTGATCTCGTCACATGCACTCTCGCCTTCCCTTAGGAAGGTAAGAACGATTCATGCCCCGAACCGCTTCATCTCTCCAAAACTATTTATTGTTACCGTTTGCCGGTATGCAGACCTTACCATTCACTGTATGTGAGCGACATAGCAAAATTGCAAAAAAAGTCACAGAAGGAAAATTCGCAGATGAAGTAAGAAAAATCGTGATCGCGTCGACAAGTAGGTATGACTGTGGGGTGCAGCTTGCATGATATGGTCAGGCATAGTGGGGCTAGGTCCTGCATACGGGCAAACACCCCTGCGCCCAGGATAGCTCAATCGTTCGGCAAAAGATTCACAAAAGAAAAAATGACCCACGCGGGACATTGTGAGTTACCGGTGGCCTGTAGCAGACGCAAGCAAATAAACAGCTTCTACCGCCTCGCGTTAAATGCCGCGCAGCTGAAGCTGTTCGCACTATGGCACAAAAAGCCATTGAGCGGAGAGGGTACGAGCGGCCTCGGTAGCGTAATGGATAACGCACCGCTCGGTAGCAGGAGATGGGGGCTCGAGTCGCGTCTGAGGTCTGAATTTTGCCCATAACTCAGCATTTCTGTAATAACTTTCGAAGCGCGACATGCGGCGTTAAAGAGCAGTTATCGTACTGAAACAATATTGATAAATCATTCTCAAACATACTTGATGTGGTGTCAACTAGTCGGAACGGTTTCAAGATGAATGGAAGGGGCCCATTCTCGGCGGTCCCACCACTGGTTACTTTCTTACTAAGTCGATCACTAACCGATCACTATCGGTATAGCAAGGCAGCTGGGGGCGGACTTTCTTACTAAGTCGATCACGAACCGATCACTATCGGTATAGCAAGGCAGCTGGGGGCGGACTTATTCAACCCCTCTTGGCAACGCCCGGCCCGATTGCGACATACCAAGTGTTTCTCATAGTGGCAACAGGTATCCGCGTACATCAATCATTTTAGTGTTAAGAGATCCTCATGATGGTGGCCGACCCTAGTCGGGAGCCCTGACCTCCACCATACTTATCATTTTATTTTTCAGTTAGGGGTAGTACCTAAGCAGTAAGTGAATACAGTGCGAAGGAACTTACATCGACATACACAGCTAGCGACATGTCTCTTTTCAAGGCCTGATAGAAACATGTCAGCTTCGAGTCGAGATCAATTTTGAACGACGTGACGACGCTATTGTCAACATTGAAACACGAGGATACATCGAAATAAAACAGTACTAGGAAAGACACCAGAAATAACCGCATCTGTAATTTATAGCTTTGAATGAGACACCGGCCCTTTCGCCGGAACCGTACAATCCCTGAGGCCCAAAATGGAAAGTGATATTACGAAGTGTTCGCTGAAACAGCAGAAATAGAACAATAGAATTTATGGAAGGTTGAAAGAGCATATCAGATGAGAATGTGCTATTTTTATGTAGTGTAGTGCGAAAAAAATTCGTCACATAGGCAATAACTCTATGGACATATTGCAAAAATCTATGTGATATCAAATATATGATGTGGTTTGAAAATTTTATCAACATATACTGCATATAGAGATTCCTCTATGAACCTTACCGAAAAGAACCGGTGTTATTCTAAAGAAGGCCATGATCAACAACAACTAGACTGATAATTGAGTGTTGCCTTATAAAAGGGGCTGTTGTACACAATAAACACTTTCTCATCTCTTCGTCTCTTCTACCGGCCGCCCACACTCCCGCCACATTCGCCGCATCCGGTGCATCGGCCGGGAACTGAACCCGGGTCTCGCATGTGACAGACGCGGATACTCACCACTATACCTCCGAGGACCCTCACTCGCGTCACTTTCGGACTAAACTGCTCACCGTTTCTGCTCGCTGGAACAATCAGTCATCACTTCCAGACGATGGCAGAAAGAACTAGCAAAAAACATACATCCCCATCATTGCATGAGCGCTGTGGGGGCGGTGCGTGTTGAACTCGGCTTGTGACGCGCATGAAGCGATGGGCGAGATCGCGTCACGAGCGAGTCATAGGCGCAGCCCGGCCACGGCGTCTGGCAATGATGAGCACGATAGAGAGCTATATTTACCGTTGATCAACGCTGCGTATTGAACAGCATTGGAACAGGGCAGGTGTCAAGCGTTGTGGCGGAGCGTCGTGGCGAAGTTGGCTCAGGCTGAGACGTCAACAAGCGCGAGTACCGTGGACGAAACCGGACACAGCAAACAAATTTTGAGCCGGGTTCCATTAAGATCGATGACACGGTGCTCAAGCGCACGGAAACATTCAAGTATCTCGGATCAGCACTTGCGTCCGATAGCAGTCTGAACTCGGAAGTGAGCGCACGAGTGAGTGCGGCATGGTCTAAATGGCGATCCATGTCTGGGATCCTTTGCGACAAGAAAATGCCAGAGCGTTTCAAGTCAAAGATCTATCGTACTGTCATCCGACCTGTCGCGTTATATGGTGCCGGCCGCGGGGAGTGGTCTGGGCTTGCGCGACCCAAGAAAAGTTGAAGGCTCGCCTGGTGTGGAGATGAAGATGCTGCGCGCGACGGCGGGCCCGTAGCGCGAAGTCGGACGCGATCTGGTAATGATGTCATGGCGTAAGTATGGTTGTAGGCGCCCCGACAATGGAGAAAAATGGCGTGCAAACGCGCCTTTCGATGGTATGGGCAGTATCTGCTGCGCAAGAGGCTGATACGGCCGGAAAACTGCTGCCTCGGACGCGAGGGTCACCAGGAAGGGCAAAGGGAGCGTCCAGAAAGGCGCGGCCTCTGGGTTTTGTTGGGGCTCGACACGTTTGCTACCGACTTGAAATAGGCCGGCGATTCGCGGCCGATCAGGGCATGCCAATCGGGAAACGTGGCGTAGTGTAAAGTAAAGAGCGGACCGGGATCGGCGTCGAGCGTGGAACAAACGCGGAGAAGAAGAAGGAGAACCTGCGTATTGCATGCCACCTTCACGAATGAGCATGAAAATTCACGCGAAGCACAGAGTAGAATCTTCAGCGCCGCGGCTTAACATGAACTTTAGCGACATTTCGCTCTAAACAAACATATGGCACTGGCGAAGTTGGCGCGGCAAATCGAAAAAGTAAAAGTCCTTGAATTACATGGGACACAGCAGCGATTCCAGGAACAATCCAGAAGAAATCTCAAACAATCGCAGTCTAACCCAGCCTGTAGTGAAAAAAAATGTAGCCCAAGTGCAAGGATCATGCCGCGAAGTCATGGAGCATGTGCCTCATGCAAGAAGTGGCTCAACAAGCAAGTAAAACGGAAACGCAACCACGAGCGAGACAACAGCGTAAAAGCCTTCGCAGGCAGCAAGACGCATGCACATACAATCTAACGATCGCGTCCTCACTATAGGAAGATCAAAGACTAGAAGACACTGGAAGACCATTGAAATTGCTGACGGCCACGCGAGAAAGGATTAGCCGCCGATCGGCGAAGAAGACCTAATTAATCTACCAGGCAGAGGGAGCGGAATTAACATCAGCTGTGCATACACTAGAGCAAGTAATGGAAAAAAAAGGGGGGGGGCGCAGGGGTCTGAACTTTTCTATCATCCTGGAGGACCCTGGCTAAATGACGAGCCTTCCATTTAAGGACTGTGAGAAGACTGCACCAGATCGCTCATCCTTGTAGAACCTGTGGGAACACACTAGTACTGCAAAGGACGTTATGCTGAATAAACAGTATTGACGGCATCTATGGTTGCTTGTTTTCACACCTGGCTAGACCTAGGCCTAGAGGGATATAGTTCCCTCGAGGGAGAGCTACTCGAGATACATATGGCAAAGATGAGAACATTGTGAAATTTATCGATACATTTTTCAGTGTAGTGAACAATCTGGCAAACATGATGCCATCGACTTGTACACCGGCTGGAAAACCACCGACTTGTACACTACATCAATGGAAGTGGGATAGGTAGTGAGGGAGAATACGGGAGTGAAAATAGCTTCACCTTTGAACGAAGCTTTCAACCAATTCAAAGGCACGAGGCACGATCATTTGGTACTTGGTCTAAAATAATAGCAGGGTGCTATATAGTGGAAAAATGGCGAAAAAGCGCAGTGAGCTTGCCAAAGAGCCTTCGCACTGTCCGATTCAAAAAGCAATTTCGGGCGAGTTCTACGTTGGCATCGTGCCAACAACCGCTACGGTAGATATGGATGCATGTGTGTGCTCATATATCCATGCAGCACCGCAGCCGCTTCATATCATTCCCTTCCTTATGTACTTCGCAAATAAAAGTGATACGAACACCAGTATCGGTCGCGACTCGTGGGGGGGGGGCGGCGCAGTGGGCGTCCGGGTCGGTGTGTGCAGCTTGATAGGGCGCTATAAAGGCACTTCCCCTGGGAACGGCGCCACGCAGCGCCAGCTCACAGCGTCCAATTCTGTTTTGCTAGATGTATTGTCTTACACGTCCTGGGGATTTATGGTGCCACTTGCCTTGAAACGATCAGATGTAAAGCTACAGGGCTCAGCTACAATTAATATGCAGTCATCCTCATGAAGTCACGAATTAAATGAGCTACAGGGGGTCTAAACGCTGTTCTGTTTAGGGGGGGGGTGTACACACTCTTCATTTTCGCTTTTTTGTTATGTGGTTCATGTCAACTGGTCTCATTTTGGTGACATGCGAAAACCCTTGTAAAGTTGCGCGGAACGGTGGATGTGATCCTGCTTAGTCACTGGAGTTTACGAGAATTCATGAATAGGCCTGGACAGGCTTCGCTAAGTGCCGTTCGGTGCCCCTTCCAAGCTGAACTACGCCGGCTTTAGTCCAGCTCACATGACATGAAAATCCAATAAATCGGGCCAGATAGAGTAGGATTAAGCATTGGAGGATCGCTGGTGGCTGGCGCACCGACAAAACGCACCAAGGTTTCAATAAGCCTCTCCATAACGTCCGTTTGCGCTGATTAGCAGGTCACGAATTGTATAGCATGACAAAAATGATGTGTTATTTCTTGGGTGCACCAAGGATACCATAAGTAATTGTATTTACCGAGGAACGCATTCAAGTGCCGCTACAATTCTGAATGGAAGTCAAATGCGCGGCGCATCGCGAAAGTATTGAACGAGGTAGAGTGTCTACTTAGTTCCTGCCTTCCACAATATTGAGTTATTCGGCAATACTGCGCGTCAGGAAACCTTGTAGGATCTCCAATAGTGAGCAGCCTTTGACCCTTGCAAAAATACAAATGCACTTTGAAGGAAATAGAAAAAAATTGTAATGAAGTATACAAAAAAAGATGTAAAGCAGTGAGAACAAAAGGAGAAACCATTGCAAGCAAATCGTGCGGACTTTTGAAAAGGCTCACAATAACAGAAGTTGTTGTGAAAGGTTCCATGAATGTACATAATCGCATGAAAATGGGGTTAGTGGAGCCGATCAAGCGATTTATCGATCGGAAGCGTTGAGGTGGGGGTGTGCCCATTGTTTGAGGTATGAATGAAATGAATAATGTCACGGCAGGGATTCTGCACGATGCCATCCATTTGATCGGATGATTTTTGTTGTGTGAACAGGTGAATGGGGTCGCTTGACTCTTTGGCTCTTTGGCACAATTAGCCGCTTCCGAGAGTCCTTCGTGCCCGTCAAACAAGACAATAATTGGAATCATTGCACGTCGTCCCCAGCGGAGGAGGTCGTATTTTTGTCACTGGAGGGAGGGAGTGGGGTCATATTTGGTCTCAGAAAAATTCGCACGTTTGGAAAAATTTTTCCATCTCTTGGCTTTTTGTCGCTTTTCCGTTTTTCTAGGAATTTACGAAATTGAAGTAGGAAGCTGGAGAAACTCAGAAAATTAGGAAATCGGGACCAGTGGTCGCATCAGAAGAGGTGATACGGGGGAGGGGGCGTACTTCTCGAAAATGTTCTCCAGCGGCAGGACGTGCCCTGATTGGGTCGCCAGCAGTGAAAAACGTTACGGGAGATTCGTAGCTCAAGTGGTGTCATGACGACGGGTGGGGATTCATAATCCATAACAGTTGACAGAATTCTGAGCAGGAGAGTCGTCACTCCCTGGTGTACAGTCTGTACGCTCACCTCCAAAGACGGTTCTCTATGTGCGAGGTGAATCGCAGCGGCAGTGATGGCCATCTTCTCGGCTTAAAAAGAACGGGAACAGGGTTGTTGGTGGTGATGCCCAGGTACAAGCTCCCGACACCATTGGCGCTGTCTTCAATGTGCAGCACTTGCGTCTACATCGCAGGTGAGTCTACAGTTCCTCTTCGATAGAAAAGGGGAAGGTCT